CGGGTGAGCTCTTTAAAAGAATATGGTTTGGGGGTTTTGGTTTTTGTTGTTGTTGTTGTCGTTCATTTGTTTGTTGTTGTTGTTTTGGGGTTTTGTTTTTGTTTTCTGTAGAAAGAGAGTGGAAGTACTCCAGGAAAAATGAAAGAAATTCTTCATTGCTAGATAAACATGGAGGGGAGCACATAGCAGAAATGTCCAGGGCTTTCCAGGAGCTATACGAGCTGTGGTGAACAGCTAGATGAGACCTCAGTCTCACAACTGGCAGAAATGGCTGAAAATGGATGAGCTTGGAAGGGGATTTTTTTTTCTGGAGCCCTCAAATGAAAACACCAAACTGGCCAACAATTTGACTGTGAGACCCAGGCAGAGAACTCAGCTGAGCATGCCTGTCCTATAGACCTGGGAGATAATAAATGTGCATCATTTAAGCCTCTAAACTTGTGATAACTGCTTATCCAGCAGTAGAAATCAAGCACAGCTAGAGAGAAGAAAACCAAGTGCCAATTGGGGACCCCATGTGACAATCTGAGAAAAATCAAATAAGGACCATGACATGGGACGTGGTGACTGAAAGGGTAATGGGATCAGTCATAAGAGTTTGCAGGCCAGAGTATGCTTGGAGGGTAGAAATGATGAATTTCATTTTGCCATATGCTAAATTCATGATATCAACAGGTTATCCACACATTTACTGAAAGTGGGTGCTGAGGCCCCATAGAGAAGCCAAAGCCAAGCATATCATCTGTAGCTACCCTGACAGCTAAATACAAGCACACAGTCAGTGTGACTTAAGGAAGTAAGTAGTGAGAAACACTGGGCAAGGGGCCAAGATAATTCCATAAACGTGACCTCTTGCACCCCAGTGAAGATCTCTCTCTCAGCATTGGATATGCTCTATGTGGATGATGATGTTCTTCCGTGTTGAACATGCTATCCAAAAATCTCTTGCAAAATCTTCTGCTTCACTTTAAAACTGTTCAAATGTCATCTTCTCCATGCAGTGTGTCTTCTGTTGTGTGCAGGAAAAAAAAGGACTCAGTCGATCAAAATTACATCAATATTTCCAAAGTTAATTAATAAGCTATCTCATGTCTCCAGTAGACAGACTAAGTTTTCCCAGGAAGAGACCACATGTTATCATCTTCAAATTCTTGACACTAAATTAACTGTCATGATCAAAATAGATATAAAATATTTACTGGCTAGATGAAACAAAGATAGGAGAAATAAAAAAAAAAAGATAGGAACCAGAACCCACAGCTGCAAATACAGCCTTGCATAACATTAACTTTATGTTAACTTTTCCTGGGGCTGTAGGAGCAAATGAGTATTCATTCACTCCAGGGTACCAATGACAGACCAAAAAACCCAACCCTATCCAAGTCCAGGTCTATGAACCCCACAATGTTAAATTGTGGTCACTTATAGCAGCATGAGTAAGGGGCTACCTACAAGAGCATGTGAAATTTACCAGTGGCTACATCACTAAAGAAGAGCCCTTGCCCAAAAATCATTAACCACTTACATATCCACAGGGAGGGCTGTGGGGTGTCATGTGCTGCCCATGCTCCTCAAAAGCCCTCCTTCTCACCCACAGAGAAATGTTAGTGGGCCCAATCTTGTGAAAAATCTGTGTGGATTTTCACAACTGGCCTAATTTTAGAACACTAATGGTCACGTCAGTATGTACTCAGTGCATAGTGTTCCACAGTATGTGAGTATTCAATAATGATTTTTGATGGGAAGATTTTAGCACATGAATGCACATAGTGCCCAAGAATACCAAAAGAAAAGTTACACACAGTGCACATATACACATATAGATATAGGCTTTCGCAGCCAAAAGTAAAGTTCAATTCAACAGACTCCACTAAAATTCAAACTGGGTTTTGTTGTGACTTGCAGCTATGAGAAAACCTTTCTTTAACTCTTTGCATTTAGGAAAGAGAGGACAATGTGTCCCTGGCCCAGCAGTTAGTTGTAACAGTAACACTAATATATGAGGAATGTCCTTTTATTAAAATTCAAAACAACTCAATTAATCTGATACAATAGAGAAATCAGATATAAGACGTTTGTACCAGTGGTGTATTTAGCTCTGAAGTTACTCTGTGTGAAAAGCTCTGAACCCTCCATAAATCAATAAATCCTAAACTGGAGGCTGGCCAGAATTAGAAAGCCTATGATCTAGTTATTTATTGTTTGGGGAGAGCAGGCATCAAAAGATACCAACATTCTGAAACAATTTAGAGGACCAGATCTGAGATTCTGTGGCCCTGACAACAGGAAGCAGTGTCCCACTGTCTTGAAGCATCTCAGTGGCAACCCCAGAGGTGCTGATGAGGGGATAGTTTGCTTTCAAATCAACTCTCCAAGAGCTGCTCACAAGATCGGCACAGGTGCCTGTGCTTGTCTTTGCTCGACACCCTGCTCCTGGATTCCCCTCTTTCCTCTGTGCGCCACCTTTCTCCGGGTATGGTGGAAATGAGCCTAAAGTGATTTAAGATTTGGATTCTCATGGTGGTGTACACTTGGTTCAGTGATTTTCACGTTCCAATTCTGTTCTAGTCTTACAGCTGACAGCCCCTGGTAGAGATGGATCACTTCATATGTTTAACGCCTGGATACTTTCCTTGTTTTGAATCTAATAAATGGTCACTGAAACACAAAGATGGGTGTGATCTGATATCTGCTTGTGACAAAAACTGACAGGCAATTCTCCTAGGTCTCAGCCAACTCTTTTTTATTATTATTAAAGCTTTTAAATTTATTTTGCATACCAACTACCATTTCTCTTCTCCTCCAGTTCCCCCTGCCACCTCCTTTCTGCCCCCCCCCATCCACTCCTCAGAAAGAGTAAGGCTTTCCATGGGAGTCAACAAAGGATGGCATATCAACCAGCTTTTACTAAGTATTGAGTTTATGCTGGGCCCTATGTTAATATTTTCTCCCCACCCCCACTACCCTCTTCACCCCAAACCACCATCATTCATAGTCCTCTCCCTTCCTTCCTTGCTCCCTCCATCCCTTCCCCCTCTCCTCTGATAGGTCTTAGTCTTGCTATGTAGACCAGGGTGGCTTTGAACTCCTATATATAGCTTTTGCTGAGTCCTAGGATTATAGCCCTGTGCTATTGGGCCCAGAGGAGAAAATACAAGCTCAGAGAAGTGAAGGTTCATTCAGTTACAAGGATGTGAAGACATAGAAGGTATGTAGCCATTTCCGCCAATTATAAGGACTATATAGGTTACAGGGCAACAAACTGCAGTGGAAATATACACCATGTACTGGAGTTAAAGGCCTGAGGGAGGCAGGTCCTTGGGGATACTGAGAGAAAGGGGGTGGAATTTTCACACTGAGAGCTCTGGCTGGAAGAAACAGTACTATGGCCTCAAGGTACTGACAGGTCACAGTGACCACCTTAAGCAGGAAGAATCGAGAATTTTCTTCTCAATTTGGCATTGCTTCAAGGCAGAGCATGAAGACGTGAGAACATTTCACACAACTGAGACAGGGCAGGAAGGGGAGGGGACACAGGGATTCACAGGGGAAATCAAAGAGTAAGTTTCCAGTGCCTATTGAATTTCACAATTAGGTTCTCATTATTAATCACAAAAGCTATTATGTTTTCTGTGCCCGGAGAAGATCACCCACATGAGCTCCGTGAAGCCTCTCAACCGCTCTTGAAGTATGTGTTATTATCTACAGGGTTGTTCCTGGGGTGGCTAAGGGCAAAATCCAAACAACAGAACAGTGGTTTGAGAAGGAACTGAGTGGGGAGAACACGGTCTGCATTTGGGATAATTTGGGCTGAAAGGAATTGAGTCTCTACTGAAAACTAGTCATGTGCCAGTCACTGAGTACTGCTTCCTAATATTATTCCAACAAAACTCCAAGAGGAATTTATTATTCACCAATAAAGGAGAAACTAAAATTTGAAGGCTCAATGTGACCCGTGAACCTATTTCCTTTCCAAAATGTCCATGCCCCAGAGACAGGACAGTTTTCTGTAAGGGACAGTGACTGTTTATTCAAGCCAGTTTAAAGTTACTTCCATCCTCAAGAGTGTGGTAACTGCAGCCTGGAAGTCAGCTCCCTGGGTTTGGAATTCAATTCTGCCACCTACTAGGCTCCTCCTTTTCTCTCAGTCTTCTAGCCTGTAGAGTGGGTTTTGTTTTGAAGATTCATTGAAAACAATACCTGTAGCCCATGATGGGTGATATATGCCTGTAATCCCGATGCCTCGAAGGCTGAGGCAGTAAGACTGTAAATTCAAGGCCAACCTTAGCTGCACAGTGAACCCCTATCTGGGGTTGGGGGAAGAAAGCGAGTGTCTGGGACATGGTAGCAGACTGCTGGCCAACATTTTAATCTCTCTTTTACAACCCAGGATACAGGAATGACTTGGACATCAGAACTAGCTACATTCAAGTCTGCTCTGCACACCAGGTTCTTCTAGAATTCAGTGACCCACTCTCACATCAGCATTCCTCAAGGAAACCGAGAAAGAGAGAGAGAGAGAGAGAGAGAGAGAGAGAGAGAGAGAGAGAGAGAGAGAGAGAGAGAGAGAGAGAGAGAGAGAGAGAGACTGGTAGGATGGGAGTGGGCTTGTGGTAGTTAGCTTATATTTTTTACCTTGGGGTGCAATTTCATTTCGTTTGTCTCCTCAGAAGAAGATGAGAGTATATGTGAAAAAGAAAAGCTGTGGTGATGGGTTAAGTTCTAGGATGATGGTGCAGGTGTCTGGGTCCACAGTCCTCCCAAGAGGCTCCCTGGCGTTCACGCAGTGGTGGTTTTATTTGAAATCAAAAGAATACACAACAAACTTCAATAGCAAACACCTCCACAACAAACAGCAAAAACGGAAGAAACGCTCCTGTTCGTTTCTGCCTTTTTGCTATCAGGAGTGTAGCCGCTGTGCTCAGATTTTCTTTAAAGTCCCTCCTACTCTTCCTCCAGCCTCCCCTCGCCTGAGCCACCTGCCCCTCCCTGCGCTCCCTTCCCGTTTCTCCCCAGCCTTCTGGTTCTAGTTCGCTGGTTACTTCCCTCCCGGCTTCTCTTCTGGAGATAGTCTTGTCCCAGCTGCCTTAGGAGGGCGAGCTAGCGGCTAGAGAGAGAAATTGGCCACAGGCGGACTGGACAGATCCGATCAGGGCAAGAAGGAACAAAACCAGTCTGTCTCTGTATCTCTGTGTGTCTCTGTGTCTCTGTCTCTATCACACACACATACACACACACACACACACACACACACACACACACACACACACACACACACACACACACACACACACTCACACACACTCACACACACACATACACACACCACGTCCTCTGAGAACTCAGCTGGCTGCGACCGACCGCGCACACCCCGCCCCGGCGCGCGTCCCAGGCCGGTGGAGCGCAGATCCAGATCCCCAGCGCGGCCACTTGGCCGGGTGTTCCCGAGCCTCAGGTGGCGCGGGAGGGAGAGCCCGCGCGTGACAACCCGGCTGCGCACGCCGAGACCTTCAGCCCTTCGGTCGGCGAGGCGAGCGGAGCGGGCGCGGCTGCCACCCAGAGCCCACCTGCCGGCCCTCGCGGTCCCCGCTCCAGCTGTGCCGGGCTCTGGGCGCCTACTCGGCAGCTGGAGCGCCACCCGGGCTCTGCCGCCGTCCCCTGCGCCTCCCGAGTGCCCCAGGCGACCCGAAGAAGCGTGGCGGCGGGACAGCGGGAGCTCGCAATGGCCAGGGCGCGAGGGTGGCTGTGTCTGTGGCTGGGCTGCTTCTGCCTGGACCTGGCGCTGGGACAGAGACCGAGCCTGCATCTCCCTGAGCTCAGCCGGGCTGGGACAGGCGACCGCACGACAGGTGGTGACCCGAGCCCGGACCTGCGGCCGCACGACAAGGTGTCGGAGCATATGCTGTGGCTCTACGACAGGTACAGCGGCGGCAGCAGAGTCCAGGACACCCGGACGCCCGGCTCGCAGCCCCTGGGTCCCCAGCCTCTGCGCGGTGGCAACACGGTCCGCAGCTTCCGAGCCGTAGGCGCAGGTGAGTGCGGAGGGGAGGGAGCCCTTCCCGCCCCGGAGTACAGAGGGCAGCCCCTCCCGCGGTGCCACCTGGCTGTCTCCCGGCCCCGGGCGCTGCTGTCCTGGGACCTTACTAGGACTCTGCCTTCCGGTTCCCTCTACCCTCTCGGAGTTCTCCAGCTGAGTTCTGGGTGAGCCTAGTCTGAGCCGAACTGAGACAGGAAAGTGGGAGAAGAGCTGGGTCGCTGGCGGCGGGGGGCTTAGAAGTGCAGTGTGGGAAGGGGCCAGGGGACAACAACCCGCGCAGACTAGCCCTCTCCCGGGCACCCCTGCTGAGATCTTATGCTGATAATTAAACTGCTCAGCAGAAATTCCCTCCGACGGGCTTTGGCGGCGCTTATACTGAAACCGATGCCATTTTATGCCAACCTAGGGCCCGGAGAGCAAAGCACACTCAACAGGCCACTTCCCCAGACACAGCCCTCTTAACTCTGCGAGCTTTGGGTTGCCATTTCTGACACTTGCTTCTTGATAGTCTCCTGGGGCAAACACACAAACAAAACCAGGTGCGTGAGTGTTTAGGTTATTTCTAACCCATCTGGGCAAATAAGTCTTGCGTGGTCCAAGCTGGGAAGAGCCGGTGGGAAGAGGCTGCCAGTGGAGAGTAAACACCTTTTAGTACCAGCGGTGAAAGTCTCATCTTCCCGTTTTTTTCAACATAGATCATTGAAACTGAAATTCATGGCTTAACGCCACCCCCACCCCCAAGCACGCCAGAACAGTTGACTCCAACAGTTTGAGGGCAAATTCCCTGGACGTTCGCTGTTTTTATCTGCTTTGAGGATGCAGTAGGGGTTGTGTATGCTACCTTCAGGATTCAGGAATAGGTGACTGCGAAGTTTGCCTTTCAGGCTTGTGTTGACGAACTGGCCAGAAAGTTCAAGGATAGAGGCTGTGTCTCCAGTGCTCTCTCAATTCTGTCTAATTTACTGGATGAATTTTCCCCCAACTTCACTGGTTAGGACTCCTGGCAGAAAAGGGGGGGGGTGTCCATGAAGGAAAGCCCTTACTTAGCACTGTGAATTCACTCTGCATCAGGGACATGATGACATCTACAGTAAACGTGAGTTATGTTTTTAATGTGGAGAAGTCTTTAGCTAGAAGTTGAGCTAAGTCAGATTTCACTCTCTTCATAGACCCATGGGTAGGACCTTGTAAAGACCTGTCCTCTACTGAGGACACAGAAACCTATCTCGCCTGGTGCATAGCATCCTTGTCACTTAAAGAGACTACCCTGACAGCTGACCACAGCAGTGACCCCTCTGTTTACATTAATGCGTCCCTGAGGGCAGAGCTCAGAAAACCAGCAGTGTGGCTAACAAAGTCTGGAAGGAGGGTGGTGGGTGGGCAAAGCAGGTGGCAATGAGGAAGACGCCCAAATCTCTCTGGCTTTGATATTTTTATTTGACTCTGTTCCCAGAGAAGAGTTGAGACATCCAAGTGACAAATTATTTTTGTATCAACAAGTTTTATTTTTGGTATGTGTCACAGTGTTTGAAGGTAAAACTTGATTTTTTGTCTCATTCACACACCTTGTTTAGCTACTGATTTTAGATGGAATAAATCATGGATAAGAACTTAACCACGTCGCTGGCTTTCACTCATTCCACCCATTATAATTCCAGGGTCCATTATCAGCCTCACCATAATCTTATACCATCAAATGATAAACTGTCTTAGAGAGGCCTGACACTCCCTTGAAATGATGGATTACAGCTTGGAACATATATACAAGGCTGTATGCCCTGATAAGAAAAGTAATCCCTTTAGCATCTTACAAACTGTCTTAATGACTTATTCATCAAATGCAGACACTGATTTTTTGGGTTTTTGTTGTTGTTGTCTTTTTTTTTCTTTTTTGTGGAGGCTTAAGTGTCATGTTACCTCTCATTGGAGACTCCTGAAGAGGTGGTTCATGTTGGATTCCTTCTAGGATGTTTAGTTACTCGTAGGGTGAAAAGATTTTGTTAGAAGACCTTTCTGGCTGTGATGCGGTGGGACTCCAGGAAGGACAGTGCTAAAGTGTTGCTTCCCCTTCATCAGCACCAGTATCTCAACACACCGTTCACTTAGTGATCTGTGTTGATGCAGGCAAAAGACACCGTCTGTGTTAGTAAATGACATTTGTTTTTCCAATGAGATTTGCTTAAGTTGCATAACATATGTGCTTTCTCTACCTAAGGTGTTACAGATTTTTATGAAAGGTCAGGTGTCTGTGCTCTGTGGATGGAGCCTACTGGTCTACCAGCCTCCGCAAGTGCTTAGTCCGGCTGAGTTATAGCCTTAGAGAGCCATTTTCTCCTTGGAACATACCTGATTAAAACTATTTATTGTTCTAAACCTAGAATAACTGAAATTGAGCTGCTGTGGTCTCTTTCTGATTGCTTCCTACTTAAACCATTACTTGATGGTGGGTGGCATGGATCCTAAACATACTTTGTGCTACCCTCTTTCTCCTCTCTCAGCTCCACGCAGTTGGTGTGCCAAAACCAGGAGTCTGGTGTCTTGTAAGCTTTCCTTTTGATATATAAGACTTTATGTAAAGATGGGTTTCATCTTTTCCTTTGTAAAAACTGATTCACAAAGTTGTAGATGACAAAGAAATTCAATCATCCGAAGGGAAGACAGAAGGGGGTGAGATTAGCTTTTATTTTAATCTTGATTTAAGTTTGTTCTTGTTCTTGGCTACTGTGGGCTAACACAATATTTTACACAAGGTCCTGATCCTTCACAGTACAGAATGTATGCTCTTTATTTCCATAGTCACTTGATCTTACTTGTCCTAGTCATAACTTCTCTAGGAAAAGCAATGGGAGCTTAGTTTTCTTATTAAAATACTATCACTACTTAAGACATACAATTATAAAAGTATCACATTCCAGTGGGTGTGTATTGTCTTTAAGAAAATTATACTTGCCTTCATGAATAAAAGCAGGAAATATTGAAGTAATGCAGACTCAGAAGTGAATGCTTGGCCTCAATGGAGAAGGACCAGGAGATTCTTGCCTAATATGAATCAAAACCTTTCAATATAAAGAACTGTAATTTTGAAATACTTCTAAAGTACAATGCTAACCTATAAGGCTGTAGGATGGTTGATGTATGATCCAGGCCTGAATAGTCATTACTTGACTAGAAGCCAGTACCCCGAAGGATACATGGATCAGTGGGGAAGAGCCGTTTTTGCTGTGTTCCATGGCAAGATAATATAATGACATTATTAAGATATAGTAATCAAGATTCCAGGCACCTAGAAACAAGGCTTGAAACTACAGAGTCCTTGGATTGTATGATGTTTTTATTTAAGGGACAATGAATGGTACATCTGGAGGAGAGGCGCTGGGATGTGCAGCTGCTTTGAATTATACACTACTTTGAATACATGATAGCCCCTAATGAAGTTTTACTGTAATAGGCAAGACAGCTTTACAATTCCTGACATTTAAAAATCCATAATACCATGGATTCTTGATTATTCATGCTGGATAGAAAGGAAAAAAGAGAATGAATTACATTTTTTTAAAAATTCAAATGTAGCTTTGTAGTGTAGTTACACGCACTCAAAGACCCCAAGAGACTGTGAAGGTCAATGTGAAAAACTCCTAAGCAGATAATTCATTCAAGCAGATGATTTACTCAATTTTATGGACTAAGAATGCATACATAATAAGGAATTGAGAGGGATACATACATTACCTGAGCCATGGAAGTTCATAAGTGCTTGTTTGATTGGTTCAAATATTTTAATTAGATAGAAATGTGAAGGCTAAATTTACTTTTTAAGTATTTCTGCATTATAAACTTTTATATTAGGAAGACATATTGAAGAAAACAGGTCCTTTAATGGAAGCAGAAATGGGCTTCATAATATATTTGCTAGATGAAATACAGACCTAATTTCAAAACCCATCCTTTCTAGTAGCCTGATCTTATTTTATAAAGGAAATTTTCAGAGAAAGAGGTCTCTGGAAGGTATTATATAGAATTGGGTGCCGAGGTCAAATGAGTTGGGGAAAAAATGATCAGCGTGGAACAGGCCCTTTAGTGGTAGTGTCTCCTTAAAGGAACAAATTTTCTTCTTTTTCCTCAATAACCTTCTAAGAATTGTGGCCCTGGGACGTCTAGTTGGAAAAATCCTGCTTCAAAAGCATCCTAATTCACCATAAAAGATCCGCAAAATTCAATGACTGTCTCACTGCAAATGAACTGGGCTCTCACTTCCCAGCTTTACCGGCTTGGGACATATGATTACACTGTCACTTTTGGGACTTAGTCCACTTGAGACTGTCCTGTCTTCTTGGTTCCAGGTTATAAACTTCTCTGAGTGTAACTGTAGAGTCCCTTTGTCTTGGCATTTTCTTTTCTCCACGTCTGTAGGAGATGTCTTTCATTGTTTTCTTCTCCATGGTTGATACTTATTGTTTTACAGGAGGCATAATAGCTTGAAAAGAAAAGTTATGTTATTTGTGGAAAAATACAGTAGTGGAAATACACATCACTTCATTAATATTTAGGTCAGTATTCATACCTCGATGAAAGGAACATTTACTCAAGACTTCTATCAGATTTTTATCTCCAGTATTTGCTGTATTTAACAGATATTTTGAAGTTATACTTATCAGGAATCATGTGACAATTGTTGGGCAATTTGACATTCATTGTCTATGATCTAATCAGGTTTCTGTGCTGCATTATGGGGAAGAATTTTTATATCCAAATTGTGATGATTTCTCCCATTTGTTGATTTTGTAAATTCTGATAATTAGTATCTCCATCATTTTATTGTAGTAATAGTAGCAGAAAGTTTGAATTCTTACTGTTAAGAATTCTGTCATTAAACATACTTTGAGTGAGAGAGAGAGAAAGAGAGAGAGAGAGAGAGAGAGAGAGAGAGAGAGAGAGAGAGAGGGTTGTCTCTGTGTGAGAATGCCATGTGTATCTAGATGACCTTAGAAGCCAGAC